TAAAAGCCAGAACATCCCAGGGAGGGAGATTCTGAATAGTCAGGAAATGCAAAGCAAATATGTCCCATCTGGTCTGTATAAACATTTGCACATCGAATACATATATCAAGTTGTATTTACGAAACAGAAGTCCATATTTTAGCAATAGGAATACATACATTACTGTCTTATTTTAGCGGACTGCCCTACTGAGGCAGGTCACAAGGATTTGTGTATAGGAGAGAATCTATCTAGCATAATCCACCTTACAGTATCTTTCAAATATTTTTTTCCCGGAATTTCGGAGTGCTAAAATATTCAAATAACGAAGCAATTCGACCTTTATAAAGTGACATATATAGAATGACTTGCATCCACTCAAAATAAATAGAATAATACACACCCGTTTTGTATGTACAGCTAAACGCTTCAACCATTGTCTGTGAAAGAAAATAATATTCTCATCTCGGTCTCAGATAGATCGCCATCCTAGCATTCTCAGAATGATGTTTGATGATGTGTGTATTGGAAGCCTTGCACATGTTTGGCAAAATATTTCCAGGTTTTATCTAAAGAAGAGGAGTCAAGTTGTGAAATAGTGAAATAGTATATATAATTGTCAACCATAAACAATGAAGAAAATATACCATGTTTCAACACACTAGCAGCAACCAAGTGCTTGTTGTTTAAGGCCTAACAGAAAGTGGAATGAATTTTACATAGTCTTGCATGAATTTCACCCTGTCTTGCATGAATTTTACCATTTTGCATGAATTTTACCCTCGAGCATACTCGAATGTTACCCTAACTTGCATGACTTTTTCCGTCTTGCATTAGTTGTACCATAAATTGGCGTATTCACAAAACACAGATTCGTTAATGAGGTTATAGACGTCTTCGAACTTAAGGGACGAAAACTAACAAATCAACTGCTTCGATTTTTCCAGGTACTTAGCTGGTGAATAATGTATCCATTTGTTCTCATAGGCAAGCCTGGACTTTGGCATATACATGTGCAACCACTCAATTCAAAATTTCTGTCTTTAAGGATAGATAGATAAATAGATAGATAAGACAGTGACGTAAAATACGATAATATATGGACAAATTTATAAGACAAACTTATTTAATTGCTAGTTTCAAATAAAAAAATGAGAAATTTCGGATCAAAACTTTAGATATGAACTTCTTCTTAGGCAACCCGACATCATGTTGGTCATTCAAAGCGATTTCCCTCATACTATTGCCTCAATTGCCGAAGCCTATCTACGTTCGACAGATGGCCCGATGAGCCACCCTAGACATTATTTGAATTAATTCTGCTTTGTTTTCACCTAAACTTTTTGCCAGCTTTGTGCAAAATTATTATTCAATTTATTTCATAAATCTAATGTTCAATTTTCACGAGTGATTGATAATAAGTATTAATGACCAAAACTGGACTTACCAGCACAATAATATACTTCTTGTTGTATGTTTAAAGTCATATTTCAGCGAATTATAGGCTTCTGCCAGTATAACAGGTAGAGAAAGAACTGGGAAATTCCCTATGGAAACCACCGACTGACGAGATGGTACTAACAAAATTTCTCACATACCCACACTACTCGAATCCGAGAGTCGAACCCACGTGGACAGAGATGAGACGGCAGTGAACGGTAAACAAAAGCCCTTGTGACCACTTGGTCTCCTGAATTCTAGATAAGGTTGTAAAATGTGTAATAAGAAGTTCATTATGATGTATTGAATTTTATACCTCTACCTTACTTGGCATAGTGTCCTTACAACGACAAGATGAATTGTAATATATAGACTAAACAGAAAGCATTTGCTTGAAATGAGTGAATAACGAATATATTTCATCGAGTGTGTAAAAATGCTTTAATTTTTCACTAACGAGAAGATATATATATATATATATATATATATATATATATATATATATATATATATATATATATATATATATATATATATATATATATATATATATAACGTAGCAAGCACATTTGTTTTATTTTATGTTAACACGATGTCTTGTATAATAGAATGAAGTAGCAGATTTCTTACTGAATCCCGCGCGATGTCAGCGGTTTACCGTTTATACCCGGTTGTGTTTATGATTATTAACACAAAAGTATAACTAGTTACATAGTTCTCCTTCACAATTTAAATCAAAATCGCACATTACGGAAAGAGAATTCGCGTTTTGTTGGGTTTTAATTTGAGTTCACAAAGGCGGCCATATTAAACCCTCGGCCAAGTATGCAACATTGTATATCTTCTGCTATCGAATCGGGAGCGAAATTACTTATTGTATTTCATAACTGTAAATTATCTCAATTATTTTCTTGGAAAATCCCGTAATTCAACACGCATTTATTGCCCAGCAAAATAATCATAAGGTACATAAACTGGGGATATTAGACTCAGTACAAACAGACCTATACTCCAGATGAGCTCCAGATGAGAAGAATTGTAGAATTTCACTTTTGAGTTCATACAGAAAATGAAAACGTCCCAAAATATTATTGTCATTCTTAATATCAATATGGTAAAATGTACACAGTACTTTCATTATAAGAATACTTTAAATTACACATGAACACATGACGTTTATATACAACAACGGTATATGTATTTTCTAAAAACTCCTCATATTTAGTCATTTACTGTGCAAGTCTGACAATTACAATTCTTTCACAACATCCAGTCTTCTCCATTGTTCGAGTGTCAACTGTCGTCATGGCTGGCACAAAACATGAGTGGTGACAAGGACAAAACTACAATGCCTGTTGTGTGTGTGTGTGTGTGTGTGTGTGTGTGTGTGTGTGTGTGTGTGTGTGTGTGATTTGGAATTTTAACGTAGCTTTAACAATTTTTCAGTCATATCGCTACGGTGTCTGCAGTGTGTCAGTTTAAAGTGATGTCTAGTACTGTGGCATCATGCCGCAGACATGTAGCATGATGTCCCACCCAGTCACATATTCCTGACATCAAGCCGACCAGTCCTAAAACTAACCTCTTAATATCCGAGCGCCTAGTAAGGCAGCTGTTATTACCATTTTTATAAGTCTTTAATATGACTCAGCCGGGATCGAATCCACGACCTGTTGAAAAGATGCAAGAACGCTGGAAAAAAATCACCGCTGAAAATGTTAAGCTGAAGGAAGAAACGGTCTCGCTTAACTAGACATTTTACGAGGTTTGGTGAAATCATTGCCGTATTATAGTCTGGTAGGCTTACAAAAAGTCTGATAAAGTCACTGATTTATTGACAGGTCAGTCAGAGGTTTTCATAAAGATAACATTTTACTCAGTTTTCGTAGCTTGTTATATTTTGTCCCAGCCACCCTAAATTATGTATCTTGCAGAATTCCAAATCTGCACGAAAATATCGCAAATCTTCCAATTGCGACATTAACTCACAGTTCAAACAAATGGACACGCATTGCCCGGTAAGCTACTACAGGTTTGTTCGGAAGTATTAGGTTTAGTATGTCTGACGATTGCACGGTTCGCCAGTGGTTTGCGATGATTTTGCCTACTTTGGGATTGTCTGGGTGATAGGTCAGAAAAAATGGTATCCTATCAACCTTTTCTTTCTGTCCATATCTGAGTAGGTCATCACGGTTTGTTTGTTTGGCCCTTTGGATTGCCTCCGCAATCAGGTCTTTGTCGTAGCCTCGGTGAATTAAATGTTTAGCCAGCTCTTCCGACCTTTCTAGGAATCTTTCATCGTCGGAGCAAATTCTGCGTATCCTCAGTGCCTGGCTATATGGAATGTTCTTAATGCGGTGTTTTGGATTACAGCTGGTTGGGAAGAGATACTGGTGTTTGTCGGTTGGTTTCGAGTAGATGTCTGTGTGTAATTTATTTTCCACCAGTCTGGTTGTTGTGTCCAGGAAAACATGGTTTGAGTTGGAGTTTACCGGAGACCAAAAAAACCTAAAGGACATCCTAGTCAGGGCAAAGCTAACGCCAATCGCTAGTCAAAACCAACCTAGTCAATCTTGACCCTGTGGCGATAAAAGATGCAAAACCTGTCAACATATGATAGAGACCAAGACATTCACTAGCACAGTGACTAAAGAAAAACCAAACATACATGGTCCAAACAAAACGTGCAAAACAGAATGTGATTTATCTCATCACATGTAAGATCTGTGGCCTTCATTACGTCGGAGAAACTGAAAAGCTACATAAAAGGATAAACCTTCATAGATCCGATTGGATGACAAAAAGCTGTATAGAAGCCCGGTCGCAGAACACTTCTCCTCCCCTGGCCATACTTTCAGTGATATAATACTTATCGCTATTGCTAACAACCACAGCTGGAGTTCCGAAACCAGGAAGGAAAAGGAATCATACTGGATACGCCGCCTTAGAACATTGAAACTAAGCGGTCGAAACCAAGAAGACTAGAAAATGAAAACTATGCACTAGTAGAATTTAACATTTTCTAAATCTTCTTCTTATCCTTCAATTTTACTATAAGAATAACCGGTATAGAATCAAATATCCGGGATATAATCTGCGTTATATATGTACAAGAAGTAAAAATAGATGTGGCTTTGGCTTGTAGACTTTTAGGGAATTATACAACGTTTTCAGTTTCCGCAACTAGTCTATACAAGCTAATTGTATTTATAGTTATAGCACATGTGAAGACAGCCATGTAGATGTTTACAAACACAACGTTTTTGTGTTTATTTGTTTGTCGTATATATGTTTTGTATTTGCCTTTGAAAAAGACTCATTAAGAGTCGAAAGCGCTTAGGCTAGTTAGTTGCTAGTTTCGTACTGTTCGTCGTCAGTTTATTGCATCTATTTTAATTAATCCCTGACACACGTGATCCCTTGGTGGATCCAGTACGCTTGAAAGGGTTGTTATTCGCCATATGATTTGTATTCTTTATATATATATATATATATATATATATATTTATAAATACATACATACATACATACATACACACATATATATATATATATATATATATATATATATATATAACACCGCTCCGGTGGCCAGGTGGTTAGAGCGTTAGCCTCGGACGCTGGAGATCGTAGGTTTGATCCCTGGTCGAGTCATACCAAAGACTTACAAAAATGGTACTAACAGCTGCCTCGCTTGACTCTCAGCATTAAGAGGTTAGTGTTAGGACTGGTCGGCCTCGTGACAGGATAATGTGACTGGGTGGGACATCATGCTATATGTCTGCGGCATGATTCCACAGTGCTATACATCACTATAAACTGTCACACTGCAGACATCGTAGCGATATGACTGAAAATTTTTTTTAAAGCTACGTTCTGGATTGAGAAATATTACTAAAATAAAAAAGTAATAATTTAAATTGATTGTATTTGTTATGAAACAGTCCCTTTATAATTAAGCATGTCGTGTCAAAGACATTAGTCATCACGTAATCTAATTTTTTAAAATTCATTTAGACCTAACATTCACAACACCTTAACAATAGCAGCACTATATGTTTGATTGCATTCGTTGCAGACATAAATTTGCATCAAGATCTTTACTTTTCTGCATTTGTATGCACAGCCAAATGTAAATCCTTGACAAGCTGGCATGCAAATTTGCAAAATAATTTATGATGAACGAAAAGCTATATAGACAGTATAACCAAATGCTGAAGACCAACCATGGCATCGATCTTTCTTTACATACTGATTGTAGTGCATGTAGTAACAACAAAATATGCAAGGGGTTCTAAACAAAAAAGTACACTCAATTTTGTAACAGAACAAAGGCTATTTCAGGAAGAACAAATTATTTTCTCCGTTTCTGTCTGTTTCCTAATGTCTGGCCATCCTTTGCGAAAATCAGACTTATTTGCAGGATGAATTCTACAGTATACCGATTGAGGTAGAAATTCAAATGTTTCTGTAATTTACAAGAAGAGATGATGATGATGATGATGATGATGATGATGATGATGATGATGATGATGATGATGATGATGGTGATGATGATGATGATGGTGGTGATGATGGTGATGATGATGATGATGATGATGATGATGATGATGATGATGATGATGATGATGATGGTGGGTGTGGTGGTGGTGATGGTGGTAATCTAGGTGGTGGTGGTTACCAATATAACCAGCAAACAAACAACACAACTAAGATCAAATCACAAACGATTCATCTGATATTTGCTTTCATCTCCAGGTCACTTTCTTCTTTCCAATTGATCATTCTTTATCTAAATAGTTTATTTGTGCTCTAATGGCAGCCAGGTACATTTATACACTGACAGGACATTAAATTCGCCTTTTAATCTTTCTCCCCTCATTGAACCTCATTTTCATCAGTGCATGACGGGAAACTTCTGTGCAGTGCGTGTTTAATCTTTCTAGTTGTCGCAAACAAGTTATTTTACCTTCATTTAGAATACGATGTCAAAGGGATAGAGGCTTTTAATTTCGCAAGATGATGTTCACAGTCGTTTGGCCAAGGTGAGTGATCCATTTAGTTAGTATTTTATGACAACAGAGACAGTCACAAAGTTTAATCCGAATGGGTTGATTCACCCCAGCAGTTAGACGATAAAAAGAATAACAAGTAATGTATTTCCATATGTCCAGTATGACGTCAGGATGCTGTTTATTTCATTTGTAAACGTTGCTTAAAACGATAAAGGCGTCCTTGAAGGTGTATCAGACATACGTTTGAATTTATTTAATTTGTGTGTATGTGTGTGTGTGTGGGGATTTTGCTGGCTCTCAATTATTAGTTGCAATTTAAATGAAATCATCCTGAGGTAAAGGAGAGGCAGAACAAATATTCATTCCACGAAGATTACCTAATGGTCAGTCCCTACAATTAGGTGAAGAGTTTCGAATCGTTGACATATTTATCTTATTTTTATTGATACATTCTCATCGCAGTGATTCATTAGGTTCGTCATGTCTTGAAAGATCAATTGAAATGAGCAAACTTTAAACAATAATTTGTAAGAATTTTAACAAACTTAGATTATATTTGATAATTGCTAATAAGGAACCGCCATATGAACAACCATCTTATTATATTTTTTTATTTCTAAAATGTCAAAAAACGTTATAAATTCCCAAAAAATTGAACTTTATTTTAAAACATCCCCAATATATATACAAGATAACGCAGTCAACAAAAAGGAAAACGAAAACAAGTGTTTATGTATTCCGATCATGGTGGCCAGTGTTAAGTTACGGTTGAGTATCTCAACATGTTTAAGACTTGTATGACAATACAGATTTTGGCGAATTCTTAGAAGCTAATTAAACGAAAATTGTTCTGATAAGGGCTGTTTATTATTTTTGTTTTACCTATTAGCAATCACCGTCATGTAATGTAAATGAAATTAAGTTAGGCTTTATTGCAGTGTAAATTATTTTGCAAGCGCTGTTTTAGGTTATGTGGCCAAAATGAAAATATTTCGATTCAGCACGTGATAGTATTATCAGCACCAGCATCTTTTACAAAGAGGTGAACCACTGGGTCACTATCCTGGTCTGATTAAAAGCCAAACGTTTCATTTTGTGGGAGAAAGTAGGTATGGATTTTGTTAAAAAGAAATTGCCGAGTCCGATCAGCTTAAAAATGTTTGCTTTGATTTTGTGAAATAAAAAAATTTTTTCTTTTGTTTTTCTAAGAACGATGTAGAAAATGCAAAATCTTTTACCTCTCAAACGAGCGGTTCGGCTTTAGCAAAAATGCCTCGTTAAATCAAACTGGGGAGTAGAATCGGACGTTTTATCGTTAATTAGACCTGAGTTTTATGATCCATTACGCCTGAGCTTTATCATCCAGTTGGTCATAGCTTTATCATTCATTTGGTCATAGCTTTATCATCGATTTGGTCATAGCTTTATCATTCATTTGGTCATAGCTTTTCTGGAAAGGAGAGGGGACGACATTCGTTACAGTGCCTTTGATAGGTTTTGTTTCAGAACAGGTTATAATGTATAGCTCAAATCGCAACACTGTTTGTTTTATTTTCTCATCACTCACTATTTTTAAAACACCCTTAAAGGAAGGAACATGTTAACAAATTTCATATTTTATTCGAGTTATTTAAGTGTTATCGTTTAACTCGTGGCCAAAAGAATATATATATATATATATATATATATATATATATATATATATATATATATATATATATATATATATATATATATATATATATATATATATATATATATATATATACGGCCAGTGAATGCATCTAGATGAGCGAAGCACCCTCAATTCATAAATCACACAATGAGGTAACAATATTTCACAATATCTCATGCTTCATTGACTTTGGTTATAATTTTGTTCTCGGTGTTCATATGAGATAAAGCACATTAGAATCGTGACGCTTACAAAGATATACACCCTTCCTACTGCCACATCTTTACAACAAATGAGGTTGATCGTGACTTATTCGTACTGGTTTTGGCTAATATATTTCATCCACCTCATGACCACGCAAGTTTCGCATATGCGTACTGTAGTAAATCGTCACACTGGATGCGTAGATGCTGCACGATAATTTCTATCTTTTGCTTGCAAAAAAGGAGTTTCTGTGACCCATAATTCTTGCTTTAGTGACTTAGTCGAAAAGTTTGGTTTACCTCAAATCAACTTGTTATATTGTTATTTTATGTGCCTAGCATTTTGCAATTACTCATGAAAAGTGGCGAGTGGATGCATCCTGAATAGTTGTTCTACATGCTTGTTTTTAGGGCGAAAAGAAGTCGATACGACCTATATGTGCTGTTTCTGGTGCTATTTCTTGTTCCAAACATGAAACTCGATAACAAGATGCATATCAGTTGCCACTTCACATTTAAAATCAGAGATCATTTTATCCCATATTGTATGCTTTACAAACACGAATTAAGTATCTGTGTTTATGATTACAAACATTTATGCACAATTGCCCCGTTTATACTCATATTTGCTCAGAATGCCTTTTCTGACCAATGCAGCTGGAAGAAAACCAAATATGATTTGTCAATGGTAAACTATTCATATTCATGATTGTATAGGGTATTTTGATATAACGAGAATAGTAATTACTTGAGTGGAATGTATGTTTCAAGACGAGATTAAAGACACGAGACAAGACTGGTTGTATAGGTTACAACATATGAGGTTGTTGTTATTAGTGGTGTAGGGGTTTACACCATTTCCAGCGCAAGAGAGGTTATACATGGCAGCCAGTATTAATGGTGGAGGAAGAAACCGGGAAAAGCCCTGAAAGAACCAGTGACCCACGAAAAGCTACCGGCAAGCTTTCTTACATATCCACATTGGCCGAATCTGAGACTCGAACCCACGCAAAGGTGAGATGGCAGTGATCGGTAATGGTGAGCACTTTAGACAACTAGGCCACTCGAGGCCCCAAACATATGAGGTAAAAGTGGAGTTGTGCTATGTATTCATTTATTACTAGGTGTGCTAACTTTTATAATTTTGTGCTTTATTCATCGATCACGAGAAATGCTATATATTCGTTCTTTACGAGAAATGCTATATATTCGTTCCTTACGAGAAGTGCTATATATTCGTTTTTTTTTTACGAGAAGTGCTATATATCCGTTGATTGCGAGGTGTGTTGTGTATTCGTTGATTACAAGGTTTGGTTTGTTTTCGTTGACGACACATTTATTTTCTTGGTTTATCCCGCTACTGTAATCCATTTTGAAGGTTTCAGTTTGATTAATCATGATCAGCGATCCGAAAACCTTCTACAGCGAAGCATTCATAATGGATAGGTGGTTGTTGTTGTTATCGACGTTACACATCTATAGCTAAATTATATTCAGGTTGAGCCATCCACGCTTGATAGACTTGGTTTATATATAATTATTGTGATTATTTCATTCTCGCCATACGAAAGAGAAATATACTTGTTTGCTAACCTTGCTTTTTCCTATCTCATTCTGGTTATCTCAGACCTGTCGTCTTACTCATGGTGTCTACCCGTTATAGAATTCTTTGCAAAAGAAACCATTGATGTCTTCTGCTGTACTTGACTAAGTTATAAGATCCAACGACAAAAACGAGAGAAGAAATACACACACAAACAC